ATGCATCACGCACCGCCTGCAAGTCCCTGGGACCATGGGAGACCCCCGCCCCTGATGACCTTGGTACCTGTGTGCCTTCCTAATGGCCCTGCCCTTCCAGCACCTCTCCTGCCCTCTGTCAGGCACCTTCTAGGTCCAGCTGTGGGCAGGGAGCGGTGGCCAGGAAGGATCTGACCCCTTTGGCCGGGCACAGCGACAGGTGGGCTGAAAGATGAACCACTTAACATGATCCTGAGGGCAGGGCTGGGGCGGCTCAGTTTCAGCCCTTCGGGTGCGAGCATGACTGCGCAGCTTTATATAGCTCTGAGGGCCCTATATAAGTGGGAAGCCCCCGGGCCAGAGGGAGCACAGGAGCCCTGCGGTGGCTGCACTGCAGGTCATCGTCAGCCAGAAGAGCCTGCCCTTGGCAGGTCTGATCCGGACTGGGGACCTGCCTCCCCCCAGCAGTAGGGTCCCCGAAGGGGCAGCCCACGCCATAGCCACCAGGATGCCCAGCAGAACAGCCCGCTATGCCCGCTACAGCCCACGGCAGCGGCGCCGGAGGCTCTTGGCCAATAGAAGTGTGCACTTCCCTAATGATGTCCTGTTCTTGGACCACATCCGCCAGGGTGACCTGGAGCAGGTGGGGCGCTTCATCAGGACTCGGAAAGTCTCCCTGGACACCATCTACCCCTCAGGTGAGTGCCTACGAGGCCAGTGAGGGTCTTTGGGGCAGCAGAGGAAGGCCTCAGCCTTGACCCCTCCTACCCTGCCCAGGCCTGGCTGCCCTTCATGAAGCGGTGCTCTCTGGAAACCTGGAGTGTGTCAAGTTGCTGGTCAAATACGGGGCTGACATTCACCAGCGTGACGAGACGGGCTGGACGGCCCTGCACATCGCCTGCAGCGACGGGTACCCTGATATAGCCAGGTGAGAGGGTGGCCTCCAGGATGTAGTCTCCCAAAACGTGGCCCTGGTAGTGGAGCTTAGAATCCTAAGGGTTTCTAGAATCTCCTTTCTGCCCTGTTGCCCTCCCCAGAGCAGACTGCAAAAGTCAGCCGTAGTTTCCAAAGGGTCCGGTTTTTTCCTCTTCACCCCACCTGGAAAAATAAAAAACAGGTGGACCTCAGGACCCCAGCCTGCTACCCTGGGGTAGGAGTGAACATCCTCCAGGTCACCCGCTCTGCAACCAGGGCCACCCTTTGCACCCCAGGTACCTCATTTCCCTGGGGGCAGACAGAGAAGCTGCCAACGATGATGGTGACCTGCCCTCGGACCTCATTGACCCTGACTTCAAGGACTTGGTGGAGCTCTTCAAAGGGACTAAGATGGACTGAGCCCAGCCCCGCCCTTCCAGGGCCCAGCCCCTCCTCCTCACACACACAAGTCAGGTGCCCACCTCCCCGACGTGCCAGGAGTGCCGGGCCAGCCCGGCTGGGAGCCGACCAGGCTGGCCGCGCGACCCCAAACCTGGGCACAACCCCTGCTCCTCCCACACCTCTGGCCTGGCTTTTTCTCCAGGTGGATTTTTTATTGTGATACTTTTTACTTTTTCAATAAACGTGATCCCCAAGCCCGTGGTGATGGCCTGATTACTGGGGACCGGCCCGCCCCAGTCCTCCGGCTCCCGCTGCTTCCGGTGGTCAGTGGACTTGGTCGTCCACTCTGGTCTCGGGGTCCCGCGG